TACACCCCAAAATTATACGGAGTGTGCATTGTATAATACTGATCATAGCATGGCTATTTTTTATTTTTTATATGGGTAACACATGCATAATTTTTTGTAGTGTTCAAATTGATCTATATAATAAGATTGGTTTGGTCCAATGAATTGAAAACATACTTTTCAATGATTTTTGGTAACTATCACCTTTTTGTGATTGCATAGATCTTATAAGAATGTAGTTGTACAAAGAAAGAAGATTTGTATTTAATTATAAGAAAACTCTTAAACATCATTGTGCGGCTAAATTTTAATATTACTCGATACAATTATTGCTTTACCTAGGGCTGCCTCTAGCAGTTTTAGTGCCCCAGACAAAAAATGATCAATAAGATCAAACAGTACATACAATTAATAACAGAATTAAATGTGAAGTAATTAGAAATCTATAAAACGTTTTTTTACGCAATGTAAAAGGTAACACTTGACTTAAAATTGATATAAAGTATGTTAAAATAGAAATTCTTTTAAGAAATAAATACAACTATAAAAGTACTACCTAATAACTTTAACAACCGAAGAAATAGAAGTTTTAAATAATAAAGGAATTTTATCAATTCAGAATCCAAAAGATAGATGATTTATCAATTCAGGACTTGAAAGATGAGATGTATCGGTATATGACTCGAATAATGGAAAACTATCAATCTAAGACCTTACGTTTTATATATTTTGACTTATTTAATCTTTTAAGATTTTCATTGCTAATTTTTCATAAACTTTTCTTCACAAAAGTTTATTAGTTTCATAAAACTATACATTATTTAAAATTTTTAAAATAAAAAGTCAATAAAATTCATGGCAATTTAGGTTCTAAATTGATAATTTTCAATCATACAAGTCTTAAATTGATAGTTTTCCATCATTCGGATCTTATATAGATACATTTCATCTTTTAGGTCCCGGGTTGATAATTTATCTACCTTTCGGATCCTGACTTGATAAAATTTCAATAATCAAATAGGTAGTATAACGAATTAATTAGTTGATTAATCAATGCTCAAATTTCAAATCAACAGGATCATTTTTTTTTGAGGAAAACAACAGGATAATTGTTGGATAAGTGGATTGATGAATTGGCTAATGGCTATTCTTTGTTGCCTCATGTAATCCTAATGACCGTATACGATACAACATAGGAATTTATTAGGGAAATAGTCTACGAAGTAATAATAATAATCTAAATAGATAAACTACATTACTCCTATTCCCAAGGCTAATTTCTTCCTAATTTTCTATTGGGTCATCCAGCCAGCGGGCCAGCCTCCCATATTTGTCAGAATTTGCTTACGGACTACTCGTATTTCTTTGTACTACACAATAGTTTTTAGGATGTTTTTACTTGGACTGTAATTTGCCCCAGACCAGACCAGTCCAGACCAGACCAGTTCAGACCAGACCAGACCAGACCAGACTTGGATAGTTATAAAAATACAAAGAAACCAGACCAGACCAGACCAGTTCAGACCAGACCAGATCAGACCAAACCAGACCAGACCAGCAAATTACAATCCAAGTAAAAACATCCTTATACTCACACAGCCGCTGGCCACTCGAAATACAGGTACTATTTTTTTTTAAAAAATGATGCCCCTTGGGAGTGGTGCCCTAGGCCATTGCCTAGGTACCTACCCCATATGGCGCGCTCTGACTTTTAACTATAATAACTTATATTCAATTTTTACAATTAAATAACTATGATACTTATACTATAATAATAATAACATTGGTCATCATACTTACTATGATTTTTTTCATAGTAGTACTTTTTAAGGATGTTTTCTTTTGGACTGTTTTCAGTCCCAGACCAGACCAGACTTAAACAGACCAGACCAGACCAGACTTAAACATACCAGACCAGACTAGACCAGACTTAAACAGACCAGACCAGACTTCCGTAGTTATAAAATACACAGAGACCAGACGTTTACCAGACCAGACCAGACCAGTTCAGACCAGACCAGACCAGACTTAAACAAACCAGACCAGACCAGACTTAAACAGACCAGACCAGACCAGCAAATTTCAGTCCAAAAGAAAACATCCTAAAAACTCTCTATGATTTAATGAATCAAGGTAAATTAATCATATATTCATACTCACGTAGATATAGATTTGGATGTTTATTTTATTTGCAAACAAAAAATATCAACTTTAACAGCGTAAACAAAAGTCATTAATCATGGAATGTTTGAAAATGAAAAATGGGATCCAACCATGTAGCTAAATCTAGAGGTATACCAGAGCTGAACGGTACGATAAAGAATGTCCAAACTCGGAATGTGCCGTGGTTTAGCAGGCTCAATATCAGAGCAATAAATCTGGTGGTCCCTAACCAAATCAAACACGCCATAATAACATTTAACAAACGGGTATCAAATTTGTGTGTATTCACGACGTTTTTTGGTACTGAAATTTGTTGGTCTAGTCTGGTCAGGTTTGAACTGGTCTGGTCTGGTAAACGTCTCGTCTTTGTATATTTTATAATTACGGAAGTTAAGTCTGGTCTGGTCTGATCTGGGACTGAAAACAGTTCAAAAGAAAACATCGTCATTCTTATTCTTTCACGGAGTATTTTTTGAAAATAGCTGATTTACTCATAATTCATCAAATCATGGTCAAATTTCCTTACATTAATAAAGGAGAAAAAGAATTCAAGAATGACAATTAGACAGAAATAGACGCTCAGCTCGTGCACAATAATGAGCAACTTCGTTCGATAACCATATTGTCTGTCTATCATGAGAAAATTGCACACTACTAGTAAAATTATCGCACACAACTCGATTATATACGTTGTTCTAATTGATGAAAATAATTCACGCTAGTAATATGATATCACCCTTCAACAACTCGTCATTCGGTTCAATTTCAAAGTTGATTGAATATCCCTGATTTCGCAGTAGCCATTCATGAATGTGTTACGAGCTAAGTGAAGTAATTGGGTCTGATTTCGCAGGACCCATAACATTTTTAAAATAATAACTACTCTATATAGGATTAAAAATAACTTAAATGCACAAATAGGACCACTTCATTTTAAACCATCGCAAATAGGACTAAACAATTCATTCCTACCAGAAATGCCCTTAAGGGTATTATTTTATAATGAAATGTTATAATTAACAATAAAGTCTTAAAAAATAATAAAAAATCATAAAAAAAAATTAAAATCATACAAAAATAAATAAAATAAAATTAAAAAATTAAAAATAATTTTTTTGATTTAAAAAAAAATAGTCAAAATCCATAAAAAAATAAAAAACTATGAATACCTTTTTCACCGCCACCCACCACCATGACATTCGATCTGTAAAAATTCTGCCACATTTTATACAAAATTCCATATTTTCCCAAAAATGCCAAGAAAATGGCATTATTACTCTTCATAATGCCAAACTATCATTGAATCTGCCATTATTATGGCATTACTAAAATTGTTGGCAGATTTTTTTTTGAACGAATTAATAAGAAATAGAAAAAAACTATAAAAATAACAAAATATGGATAACTCCGATCGGTGAAAAATCTGCCATTATTTGTCAAAAATTCCATTGTTTTCTGAAAAATATCAAGAAAATGACATTATTACTCATCATAATGCCAAAAATTCCCATTAAATATGCTATTATTATAACATTACTAAAAATAATGGCAGATTTCCAACCGGTGATGGGAGCTGGTGGTGGCGGGAGTGACAGAGGTGACGACATTTTTTAAATACATTTTTTTAAGGTTTTTTAATTTTTTTAAGAATTGTTTTTTGTAAATACTTTATAAATATTTTAATATCTTTTTATGTTTTTTATGATTATTTTTACGTATTTTTTTATGATTTTTATTATTAATTAAGATATTTCAAAAGCCTCGATCAAGGGTATGTTTTTCCAAATACACATAAATAGTCCTACTAGGGAGAAAAAACATGTAGTCCTGTTTGTGCTCATGAGTCACTCTTTTGACCTATTTAGGGAATTAACTCTTTTTTGAAAACCAAAAGTATTCAATTTTTATGAAAAAAATTACATACTTGTATATAATACTCTCTCCATCCGATTTTACTAATCTTACTTTCTTTTTCGAGTTGTCTCAAAGAAGTGTCATTTTTTAGAAAAGAAATATAATCCGTATAATTTACAATATTTTACTTTATTATACTCAAATTTAACTACAATTTAATATTGTTTGATACTAAATGTGTGCTCTCTCCTCCCTTGATTATTTACAACGCGCATGATCGAACCCAGACGTATATGTGTTTGATTTACTTTTTGTGTGCTTCCACATCGTTATGAATCGATCAAGTGGACCCCAAATTTATATTTGTTCAGGTCTAGATTCCTGGTCCCTTGCACCTGGACCTCATCTATTCTGCAATATACAAGTACTCCGTATTAACATATGCGATTCACTTATGGTTTGTATTATAATTTTTTTTAAAATATATTACGTACCCGAGTATGATTTATCTACAGCCTTTCAAAAATCCATACATCCTAATAAACCCTCCAATATACAGTCATTTAAGATGGAAAGAAAGAGTGGAAAGTGGCAATCAATTGACCTGCGTCATCATTTTGTATGTCACTATCTGCAATGGTGCCATCAATAATCTCCAACAAATTGCCGCTTTAAATATATTGTTCAACAGAGACGTTAGAACTGGGGCTATCATATTTGTGGAAAAGGTGGGACACTGGGACATACTCCGTATATGCTATGTTGACCCACGCCATGGAAATTAAAGAACAAATTCCATGCGAATTCGTAGTTTGTATTGGCTTGTTGCCCATATTGAAACAATAAAAACATAGGACAAAAGCTTCTTATAACAAACATCCATGTTTAATTAATTATTAGATGAATGAAGACAAAAGGTACGTGGGCCTCCTTTCTTATTGCTGCTATTCCGCGAACTCTTACTCCCATAGCTTATATACTCACTCGATCCCTCCCTCCATACTCTAAACAACTTTTTTTTGAGCACTCGCGAAATTAACTTCTCATTTATTTTCATCAGAGCCGGCCATAGGGCCAGTTGGGCGAGGCAGTGGCCTAGGGCCTCACAATTTGGGAGGGCCTCATTTTTTTATATAAGTGTTAGTAGTAGTATTAAAATATTAAAATTAGCTTCATACTCCAACGCTAATCGGTAGAGCCTGTAACCTGTTGTCGCCCAAAGGCCTGCAAACCCCAAACCCATCACCTTAGTAGTGGCGAGATTTCAAGACCTAATTTGTGGCCCTGCCGCCCTATTCTTCTCCCGGAGTTCCGGTAATCAAAGTTCCAGCCTTCCAGCGCCAGGTTTGAATATTACTTATTATGCATAATAGCTTCGGACTTTGACCTTCTTCATTAATTTTCTTCTGCAATTGACCGTGAATTGGGAGATTGGGATTTTGGAATTTGGGTTCGGGAGTTCTACGGACTTCAAACGCTTTTCAATGTTATTGCTAATAATAAGTTGGCTCCTTAATCATTATAAGCACTTTTTTATTTAATAATATTGATTGATTGGATGTTATGATTATTAGTCATTTATTTAATTTGTTTTACACTAATACGGAATATTTTAAAATTGTAATTGAATTAGTCATTTACGGAGTAGTTGTTTTGTAACTAATATTTTATAATTGTTTATCGTAAATGAGTAACTTTTCACTGTAGTTTTTTTTGTTTATATTTTTTGACTAATTATTGTAGTGTTAAATATATAGGTATTGCAATGACTATATCTTAGCGATTATATAAATCACATTAATATAATACTAACTCCATCCCACTCAACTTTGTCAAATTAATACTGAATGTGAAACTAAAATAGTAAAAATTATGCAATTGAATTTGTGTAGAATAGAGAGAAATGAACATAATAAAAATTTCATTACTTTAAGAAAAGTGACAAAATTAAATATTTTGATACAAAAAATTAGGCAAAATCCTGTGGAACGAAGAAGTATATGAATATTAAGCATTTTCTGCCTAGGGCCTAGAAAATGCTAAGGCCGCCCCTGATTTTCATTTCCATATTTGGCAAATTCTCTACGTTAAAACAATGTCAAACAGTAGCTGACAGTGTCAAAACAGTAGAATTACCATCCAGCAAATTTATTTTCTCAATATATGTGAAAACCAAGTGAGTTGTTGTATACACGATGAAGGGAGTATATGATACGGACTAGGGAGTGCTCCATCTCTCTCTAACCATCTTTGCATATCTTGAAGCTCTAGAAAAAGTCTATATGCCAGTTAATTAAGTTTGTACAAATATATATACGCAATGGTATAATATAGATTATATTATACGTATAATTTTTATTCTAATACCTTTTACATTATTTTTTAACTACGCGTTTTGTTTTTATTATTGTAAAAAATAAAAAATGTTACCGCAATCAATAACTGCTTTAGTTATTTCTTTCAAAAAAAAACTGTTTTAGTTATTTGACATTTTTAATAGGTTAATGGTATAATAATAAAATTCAGCCAAAAGAGTAAGCAAGGCCGCAAGGGTGGTGACGTGTTCAGCGGATAATAAATATCAGCCCATTTAGGGGGTGTTTGGTGATTTGTACAATGATTATAAGCTCATTTTTCATACTCAAAACGGCCACTTAAAAGAAGTTTCTTTGGAGTATTTTTTCTCTTCGTGACTTCTCAAGCACTACTAAGCTAGATCAAATTATTCACAGTTAAGTACCAACAGTGAACCATACTCATTTTTTTGTGTGGATTCATGCCTATTATTCTACTACATAAAAAATAATCATCACACCACACATCATACGTATAATATACACACACAGAAGAAATGAGGAAAATGTGAAACATTCTTAATATTTCAATGTGTATGTGATTTTAGGGCATAATCCTAGCTACAAGTTCTCAAACATTATTTTCAAACTAGTTTTGTAAAATTATGCATTCGGTGCTTATTTCCGAACATTCGCTTTCCTCATAATTTTTTTTCATTTCTAGCCTCTTTTCCTAATTTTGTTCAACTTCTCGAACAGTCGAACATATATTCTCTAAATATATATTCTTTAAAACTTGTAACTCTTCATATTTTTTTTTTGTGAAACAATATACACATGAAATGCCTAAGCGGAGACTATGAAATGAGATCATCCATCGGCAAAGGATTGAGACTATGGCAGCAAATTCACTATGAATATATTGAAACACCACCGATGCTTTTACTTGGACCGTTTTCAGTAGACCAAATCAAACCAAACCTAAACAGAATAGACCAGACAAGATCAGATCTAAACAGATCAGATTGAGCCATATTTCTATAATTATAAAATACACGGAAACCAGACATTTACAAGACCAAATCAGTTCAGACCAGACCAGACAATCAAAAGATTTGAGACGAAGTAAAAACATCAACCATTTGATAAGCACAATTTTTTTGAAAGAATATAAGCACAATAAAATTTAAAATTGTACTAATTTATGAAATTAGTTATATTTAATAAAGTAGTACTAACATCATATTTCTCTTTATTAACTCTATGTTTAGTCCCCAAAAGAACTCTATATGCTTAGTATTAAATTAACAGCAATATTACGGTCACAAAAAATACTAACCGCAATGTTAATACTAATAATAAACAAATGGTAATAAAAAGGGTGTACAATTGTATCCACAATTGATCGCTGGCCTACAATTGCTTGTACTTAAGTATTTGGATACAATTTGTTTATTTATTATTGGAAGACTAAAATAATTTTAATTACATGCTAAAATGTAATTACAAACTTAGAGAGAGATAATCTTGTTTGGGAAAAAAATATTCCACGTATTCTTTAGCAAAAGCCCCCCGGTTTTGTGACATTACAAAGGTAATTTTCTTACTTAATTATAACCGGTGTCATTTCAATATTATTACTTTTTTATCTTTTTTTGGTCAGTTTGTTGTGTAGTTTCCTTCCATTTGTTTTCATACTCCACAAGCAACGTATATCTCAACAAACCCTTTGGCAGTTCTCCTTATAAATGTGCGCTTATGCAGTGAGAGCTTTACAGGTCTTTCCCTAGCCTCTACCTCTGATCTCTGTGAGTTAATTAGTAAGTGTATATACAAATCAAACCCCAAATACACAAAACCCCAAATCTTTGAAAGAAAACTGAGAAATAAAAACACTCTTTCATATTTTGTTTGCTAATGTCTTGTAATTAATGTTTTGAAGATAAAGCAATGCCTCTTCGTGATCTTCCAGTGCAACTCAGGAACTTCATCATTTATATAATAGTGCTGGTAAGTGTTATATTGTTTAGTTGAATCCTTTTATACCAGGTCACTGGCTACAATTCTCCACAGTCAATTACAGGTGCGATTGATTACACAGAGATGGTTTCGCTCGTTTCAGGGTGAACCGCCTGAAACTCGAGTTCCTCGGGTATGTATTTTAACAATTTCAATTTTTTTCTTTTCATTTTCGTAAAAACATGTCTTCATTACTGTCTTGCCAAATAAACGTGTTGAGTTTAATCCAACACGATATAGTAAATATATGTGTAAATGTGTATGAACAAGCCATTTTTACGTGGAAACCCGGAAAGGGAGAAAACCACGGGACTTTTTAGGCTAATGTCCAAGCCCTCTCTTTCTCATTAGGACTCTCCTCACCATTACATAGTACATTTTGAGCTCCCATTCATGGAGTATTATCTAATCTAGAGAGCTAAAGGAAGAAGGAAAAAGATCCCTCATATGGAGGAGAACTCCCATATTTATAGAGAATAGGGGAAGGGGATGCTCTCCACCCTAATGGGCCGCATGGGCCGGAGAGGGCCCAAATGGCTAAAGTGGGCCGGATGGGCCGAAATGGGCCTAACTGCTCGGGCTCCGTACTGAGTAATGTCTTGGGCTCCTGAACAGTAATAGGCCGGGATAATATATCCCAACACAAGTCCCCCAGTTTCTTGAGTAGTGAGCTCGCGAATCTGCTCGAGAAAATATACTCTGCCTGCGCTCTTCCTCTGTCTTGCTGGAAACTGTGTCTTCACATAATCATAATATATGAGTGAGTGTCTGCACTCCTGAACGTAATCTACCAGTGAGGCACCCCCCTTCCCGATATAGTAAGGGCGAAGGGTGCTCCTCCACGGCACACTCCCCCTGAATGCATCAGGCGGGAGCAAAGAACTCTGACTCGAGCTTTCCAATCGGAGAAGCTTAGAGGTCCATCATCTATCAACCGACGTCGCGGTACTGTCAAACATGATGCACGTGTGCCGACACCAATGTATGAGGTATGATGCATGAATGTATGTATGCATGTAATGTATGTATGTAATGTATGAGAGAGGGAATGCAAGATGTGATAAAAGCAGTAGCTCTCATCGATAACCCGGGCATGTCAGCACCGAGAAGCAGACGCGCTGCGTAAGACGGGTCTCCCATCCGAGACGGCATGGGCGGAGCCGAAGGTGGACTAGACATGATGCCGCCGAGGGGCCAATCATGCTGCATACGACGGGTCCCCCATCCGAGATGGCATGGGCAGAGCCGGAGGTGAACTAGACATGATGCCGCCGAGGGGCCAATCGAGTTGTATAAGAGATGTTCGTCGCCATCCTGGAAGGGATGGGCGAGCCGAACACGAGCCAGACACGATGGCGCTGGGGCGCTGATCGTGCTGCATATGAGACGTTCGTCGCCATCCTGGAGGGGATGCATGATCCGAACGTGAAAGAGACACGATGGCGCTGAGGGGCCGATCGTGCTGCATAAGACGGTCGTCGCCATCCTGAAGGGAATGTGCGAGGCGAACCGTGAAACCAGGTACGATGGCGCTGAGGGGCCGACCGCACTGCATAAGACGTTCGTCGCCATCCTGGAAGAGATGCGCGATCCGAACGTGAAAGAGACACGATGGCGCTGAGGGGCCGATCGTGCTGCATAAGACGGTCGTCGCCATCCTGAAGGGAATGTGCGAGCCGAACCGTGAAGCCAGGTACGATGGCGCTGAGGGGCCGATCGCACTGCATAAGACGTTCGTCGCCATCCTGGAAGAGATGCGTGATCCGAACGTGAAAGAGACACGATGGCGCTGAGGGGCCGATCGTGCTGCATAAGACGGTCGTCGCCATCCCGGAGGGAATGTGCCAGCCGAACCGTGAAGCCAGGTACGATGGCGCTGAGGGGCCGATCGCACTGCATAAGACGTTCGTCGCCATCCTGGAAGAGATGCGCGATCCGAACCGTGAATCAGGACACGATGGCGCTGAGGGGCCGATCGTGATGCATAAGACGTTCATCGCCACCCTGGAAGGGATGGACGAGCCGAACATGAGCTGGGTACGATGGCGCTGAGGGGCCGATCGTACTGCATAAGACGGTCGTCGCCATCCTGGAGGGAATGGGCGATCCGAACCGTGAATCTGGACACGATGGCGCTGAGGGGCCGATCGTGATGCATAAGACGTTCGTCGCCACCCTGGAAGGGATGGACGATCCGAACGTGAGCTGGGTACGACGGCGCTGAGGGGCCGATCGTACTGCATAAGACGGTCGTCGCCATCCTGGAGGGAAATGGGCGATCCGAACCGTGAATCAGGACACGATGGCGCTGAGGGGCCGATCGTGATGCAGTAGACGTTCGTCGCCACCCTGGAAGGGATGGACGAGCCGAACATGAGCTGGGTACGATGGCGCTGAGGGGCCGATCGTACTGCATAAGACGGTCGTCGCCATCCTGGAGGGAAATGGGCGATCCGAACCGTGAATCAGGACACGATGGCGCTGAGGGGCCGATCGTGATGCATAAGACATTCGTCGCCACCCTGGAAGGGATGGACGAGCCGAACGTGAGCTGGGTACGATGGCGCTGAGGGGCCGATCGTACTGCATAAGACGGTCGTCGCCATCCTGGAGGGAATGGGTGATCCGAACCGTGAATCCGGACACGATGGCACTGAGGGGGCCGATCGTGATGCATAAAAATAGTGATGATCATCTCATGGCCCTCGGCCTCTCGCGGCCCTCGGCCGTGCTGGTGATGTGTCAAGTCTCTCTCCTGATTGGCTGTGAGAAACCGATCGTCTGCCAGGACTCCATCCGGGAAGGAATGGTGAGCCTGAAAATAAATCTGGGCAATGTCTCTCCTGTCTGAGCTGGGGAGCTAATCGTCGTTCGTCTACCGTATCCGTGGTCCTATGTACGGATCGCTAAGCAGTGTACACTCGGCACGCACAGACTCCGGTAAAGAGCTGGTCCATCGTGTCTGATCCATGGAGCTGGTCTTCGTTCGTCTACCGTATCCGTGGTCCTATGTACGGACCGCTAAGCAGTGTACACTCGGCACGCACAGACTCCGGTAGAGAACTGGTTCTTCGTTCTTCCCAAGTCTCGTGAGTACTGGTCTCCTGGTTTCGCAGGAGACGTTCGTCATCCCAACTATGAGAAGGAACAGGTTTATCCACGTCGGGATTCCCTATTCTTCGTTCGTCCTTGTCGCGGTCCTACTAATCTTCTTACTTCGAAGAAGACGTTCGGTCAACCAACGATCGCAAGGAGGAACAGGTGTATCCACGTCGGGATTCCCTATTCTTCGTTCGTCCTTGTCGCGGTCCTACTAATCTTCTTACTTCGAAGAAGACGTTCGGTCAACCAACGATCGCAAGGAGGAACAGGTGTATCCACGTCGGGATTCCCTATTCTTCGTTCGTCCTTGTCGCGGTCCTACTAATCTTCTTACTTCGAAGAAGACGTTCGGTCAACCAACGATCGCAAGGAGGAACAGGTGTATCCACGTCGGGATTCCCTGCTTCGTCGTCCCATGCTCGTGGCCCTACTAGCCTTCTGCTTTTGCAGAAGGTGTTCATCGATCCACGGGAAATGGGAGGAACTGGTTTATCTTGCCGAGGTTCCCTTTGGTACGTCTAGCCTCCCCCACGTTCCTACTAACCTCCGCGTCGGGAGACGTTCGTCATACGCGGCGAAGGAAGATCAGGCATACCTCGTCAAGACTCCCTCTCTCATAGGATCTCGTCTCCCCTTCTCCCCATCTTTTTTTTTTTTTTTTTTTTTTTTTTTGCTTCTTTTTTTTTTTTTTTTTTTTTTTGAGGGAGGAAAATACGTTCGTCGGTTCCAAGAATAACCACAAGTGATGTCACATATAATGTCATGCGAAGGCGATGGTCACCCTCCTGAAGGGAGGGGTGAGCCCGATCGCTAACTCAAGAAGGTCGGCATTGGGAGCCGATATGCAATGATCATAATGTCGCTGAGCAGTCGGTCCTGATAATGGAGATGACAATAGTGTCCGGTCAGGCCGATATATCCGAGCAACGGCTCTCATCCAACGCAGCGCGGGGATGAAACCGGTCTTCAAAAGATAAATATGTCGTGCCGAGAGGCCGAACATAACATGATAGCGTCGGCAGTGAGAGGTCGACCTGAAAGAATCAAGCAATGGTCTTCGTCCGCGAGGGGCGGGGACAAGGCCAGTCTCCAAAAGATAAGCACGCCGAGCCGAGAGGCCGGTCGTGGTATAATGATGTCGGCAACGAGAGGCCGATATGAAAGAAATCCAGCAACGGTCTTCGTCCGCGCAGCGCGGGGACGAGGCCGGTCTTCAAAAGATGATAATCACGCCATGCCGAGAGGCCGGTCGTGATATAATGATATCGACAATGAGAGGCCGATCTGAGAGTGAGCACACAACGGTCCTCACCCACGGGGAGCGGGGATGAGGCCGATCTTCAAATATGGAAAGCACGCCGAGCCGGGAGGCCGGTCGCGATATAATGGTTTCGGCAATGAGAGGCCGATCTGACAGAATCAAGCAACGGCCCTCATCCACGAAGGGCGGGGACGAGGCCGGTCTTCAAAAGATAAACACGCCGTGCCGAGAGGCCGGTCGTGGTATGATGATGTCGGCAATGAGATGCCGAACATGATGTGGCAGTGTTGGCAATGAGGGGCCGATCTGCAATCCAGCAACGGCTCTCATCCGCGCCGTGCGGGGACGAGGCCGGTCTTCAAATATGGAAAGCACGCCGTGCCGAGAGGCCGGTCGTGATATGGTGTTGTCGGCAGTGAGAGGCCGACCTGAAGATCAGGATGGTCTCACGGCCCTCGGCCGTGATGGTCTCCTCTAGGCCCTCGGCCTCTGAATGATGGATGATCGTCTCACGGTCCTCCGCCGTGGTAGTCCACTCTAGACCCTCGGCCTCTAGGTGTTCTCCCTAGGCCATCGGTCTCTGGGTGGAGATGCCCGTCCCACGGTTCTCAACCGTGGTGGTCTCCTCTAGGCCCTCGGCCTCTAGGTGGAGATGCTCGTCTCACGGTCCTCAGCCGTGATGGTCTCCTCTTTAGCCGGCCCTGCACGTCTTCAAGATTCGGGCCGAGCGTCTTCTAATCATTGCGTTCAAGCGCGTCGAGCGGCTTCGGCTGCGCAATAAGCATGGTAACGGGCCGCACGGCCCGACAATAAATATGCACACATAACCATCTGCATGGGTCATCGTGGCTTCCCTCTAACACCCACGATTACCGACCTATGGGTCATCGTGACCCTCGGCCCGGCTCATCGTGCGGGGTTAATGGACGTAGCAGCTCGCGGCGGGGCCAATTGGCAGCCCGCCGAACGTCACATAGAAATATTCACCGGTCCGTGAGTTTTCAAACTCAGACCCAAGTTGGTCGCACTACCCTCGAAAAATGAGGTTGAGCACTTCGGTGCCCTCGGGCCCCACAGGCCGCGTTTGGCACAGTCACTTCGCCTAGTGGCGCAGATGGTACTAGGGTACGATCGTCGCTCGGGCACTTGGTGCCGTGCGGACCAATGCGTAACCCCCCAATTAAAATGCGTCGTCGGGGCATCGCCCTTCTGGAGACGCTCGGATCGCTTAATCAAGCTGATTGAGAGTGGGCCATCGGGCCCCACAAAAAATTAAATATTCGATAAAATATTGGCCGAACTAACTATCACTAGAGCTTCGCTCTGCATTATTTATTTCGGGACATTTTTATCCCTAACAAATAATAGTGATGTAACAGGCAATAATACCGATATTATCCTATCATTGGTCATTCAGATGCGCTCCGTTCGCTAATTAAAGCTGATCAGGAGCGGGCCGACGGGCCCACAACAACCAGTCATTAAATTTAAATGACGGTAAAAACTAATTATCACTTAGAGCATCACTCTCATTATTTAATTTCGGGAGTTTTAATCCCTAATAAATAATGGTGATAAAAATACTGGCAATATTTAATCATGCTGTATTATTCTAATACTTCAATAACTAGTAAATTGGGTTAGTGGCACTTAGCTTTTGGAGATCAAGCTTCGGCCAGCTGGGTTTGGAGATAAAGCTTGGTCAATTCTTCCATCAATTTTGACCCGGTCAACATTATTTTAAAAGTTTGCTCTTCATTATTTGGCCTCACTCCACGGACGTGGCTTGCCTCAGACCAAGGCATCGTGTGCGGAGTACATCTTTTAGGAAAAGGCAGGTGGAGCACCATCCTACCAAACCAGGTGCAGGCCGTTCGTGTCGGTCACTTCTCGCGAGTGGAGACGGCGGTCGCAGCCGAGCAAGGCGGCCCGAACAGCTTTTATCCGGCGGAAGCTCGACCGAACTACTGAACGTCCTTATTCTGAGCTCGAAAAACACCATTAATGGCAGAATCATGAAGCTCTCGACCGGCATACCCCACATGTCGCGTCGGCCGAGTCGTGGAAGCTCGAACGGCGACCGGGTGGGGGGAGTAACCAGCAGTAGGTCGGTGATGGCGACGGTGGTGTGGTGATGCTTTGGCGGCGACGATGCTCCGGCGGCGGCAGCAAAACAGAGCAAGATCCGGACAACCCAGATCTTCCAAAATCCTCGTTTTTCCTCTTCCTCCCGTTCAAATCAGTAGTCTTTCTTTTTTTTGTTTTTGCTGGAATCAGTCCATTTTCATATGAATCTTTGAAGAACAACGGAAGAACACATGTAATCTTTTTGGACAGATTCCCACAGACGGCGCCAGTGTTGAGTTTAATCCAACACGATATAGTAAATATATGTGTAAATGTGTATGAACAAGCCATTTTTACGTGGAAACCCGGAAAGGGAGAAAACCACGGGACTTTTTAGGCTAATGTCCAAGCCCTCTCTTTCTCATTAGGACTCTCCTCACCATTACATAGTACATTTTGAGCTCCCATTCATGGAGTATTATCTAATCTAGAGAGCTAAAGGAAGAAGGAAAAAGATCCCTCATATGGAGGAGAACTCCCATATTTATAGAGAATAGGGGAAGGGGATGCTCTCCACCCTAATGGGCCGCATGGGCCGGAGAGGGCCCAAATGGCTAAAGTGGGCCGGATGGGCCGAAATGGGCCTAACTGCTCGGGCTCCGTACTGAGTAATGTCTTGGGCTCCTGAACAGTAATAGGCCGGGATAATATATCCCAACAAAACGTTTTCATTATCTAGTATTATCTAGTACTACGTACGAGTATAAGTTACTCATAAATCAGCTTTTTTTGAATACCAAATACGGAGTATTAAATAATTTTAATTTGGCTTACAAAGTTCTTGATTACATTATTAGTATGGACTCGCTCTTGTTCAATATGGAGTATATAAATAGGCCGCCCTTTAATTTAATTTGAATCGACAATTATTAAGAAAAACAACTTTTTGCAGTTGAATTACATTTGTATATAGGGAGAGAGAACAGCTTTTCAATCATGCATAAAATTATTTCTTTTATTTGAGTTGATTAACCTTTTTATGAGTTGTTAAAAAAAACCTTTTCATGAGACCGATCGATGGAAAATAAGGACATTTTTTTATGGACGGAGAGAATATTAAAATTAGTTTGAGTTCATTCACATTTTATGGAAACTAAGAACATCTTTACATTAGTTGATAGGTAGTTGTTCATTCACATGATCACATCACGAATCAAAATTAAATTGAGTTCGTTCAGAGAATATTTTTTATGAATAATTTATGTATATACTTTTTACAAAAATATTTACATGATCTAACTAAGGTTTACTAATAAACACATGTGTGATAATATTAAAAAATACACTAATTAATACTCCGAATGAAGTATAAAACTATAACAAACATTATTCACTGTTACATTTTTTCTTATCATGAAGATATATGATAACATACAATAACTAAAAAAGTGTTATATAGAGAGGTTGTATTAATAACTACTCCATCCTCCCCTATTTAGTTACGTTGTTAATCAAATGTGTCTTAGCGGAGGTTGAATTCATCATGCATACTGTTTTGTCAATGCTCAATCATAGGTGAAATAGTTTCTCTAGTATATCACCCTCCGTTTTTACTAATAAATGGCACAGAAACACAAAAGTAAATGGAAATTATGGAGATAAACTTCATTTTGAAACATATAACCACATCGTCACCAGATGATTCAATTCCCCCTAAAACAAAATAATTACATACTACGTATTATTTTTAAAACGAACACGTAAATATTTCTCGTTTTTCTGTCACACATGTGTGTACCCCTTTATTTAGAAAAACTATCTTCAACCATTATCGCGCACGATTCCCACAAAAATGTTACGGAGTATTTATTTTACTACATAGTTACAAATGTCTATTTTTGTCAATCCTATATGAATCTTAACATAAAGTGTATTTCAATATTATTCTGACAAAAAATATTCTCATCAATTATCATGCTAAAGTTCTGCACAATATTTATATACCAAAGGATATTGGAACATTTTTAAGTTAGTTTTGAAAATAAGTCAATATCTTCAAGAATGAATATAGTTCTTTATGTGTTATGTCATTACTCTGGTCAATGAATATTTGCATGACATTATCTTATATAAAATTTTTATAAAAATGTGAACTTTCGCATGTTCACCTTTTTAAACCTAAAATTTTCCTTAGACAGATTTTAGTGTTAAAATAAAGATATAATGGTTCCTGTATTTGATTTACATCTTTTATTTATTTTTTATTCAAAAATATATGTGAAGTGACATTAAAATCTTAAATTCCAATTTTATATATTTTTATATTAGAATATTTGCCTCTTTATAACATTAATTCGATATAAAATTAAAACTAAAGTTTTAATTGAAAAAGATATTGCTGGGAGAATACATTAACCAAGCTAGATGGTAAGAAGAAACTGAATAGACTGGATAAACACAAATTATAAAGGAGTGAAGAGTTTAGTTTATTGATGGAATGACTAATGAATTCTAGACTCTAGTTAGCATGAGGGAGTAGCTCCATAGAATTCTGAACTCAAATGAATTACAAATATATACTACGTATTCATCATTCGAAGACAACCTGTCCGTGGAACAGAAAAGTCTACAAAAAAAATGTACACATTTTATGTATATCTACCAAATGTCTACCATTCACCATCACAACTTCACTTTGGTAGTTAACTTTATCTTAATAAATACTATGTAATTAGGTTGGAGGCCCCCTTTCAACATCACCCACCCCAGTACTAGAGACGGAAAGAGAAACAGAGGAAGCAATAATTCCAATAACTATGGTAAGCGTATATGTCATGCTTAATTTTTTTGAAACATTGATGTAAACTGTGCATAACACATCAAAAGAGATATCACTCCCTTGTAAAAGGGAACTAGTGAACTACTAAGGTATGAGGTACTTAATTTACCAATCGTTTACAATCGTAACAATAATGTAAGTAGGCTTGAGATTGAAGGGGCTGTTTAATACTATCTCCGTTCCTTAAAACATTGCCAAAGTTGACCGCCACGGAAAATAATAAAGTGAAAATTGTGTGGTTAAGGTTTGTGCTGAAGAGAGAAAAATGACCGAAACAACAAAATATTGATTAAAAGGGAAAATGACAAGGTTTTTTGGATCGTCCCAAAATGGGAAGATAACAAAGTTATAAAGGACGGAGGAGCATGAAGTCCAAATATGACTAAGCTAGCTAGTGTCTGAATTATTACACTTATCCAACCGTGACACCTTGTCCATGCAATTGCCTTTATCGTCTTTGTTCGGCGCCTGTGATAAATCTCTTGAGAATTCATCTCGATCAGAGAGGAATATAATAACTAAAGATGGTCCAGGCAATATTAATACGAAAAATTCTTTTGGCACATTCTGCTTACATCCAGGCCCTCCAGGGTACAATCTATAATCTATATAACCCTCATTTCTAATTTTCCTCTTCCACTTTTCTCTCTCCTCCCCCCTCCATTCTCTTCTCTCCCTTCTCTACCTTTACGCACATTCTGCTTCCCCCACCCCCATTCTCTACACAGACGGAAATTATATATGTGCGGACATTTTTTTCTATACAGACAATTTATACATCCATATTGGTTTCCAACCTCTTGACAGACTTGCAAACCATTTTTTTTCATAACACATTTTTGTCTACGCAAACAACTAATGTTTGTGTAACCAGCATGGTAAAACGAGCTATTAACTTTCCAACCCACGGTGAAAACGTGCACGTTTTCCAAGCATAGCTATTAATTTTTTAATGATTAACATCAAATTGTTTTGACAGTATGAATAACATATCTTTAACACATTTTTTTGACATGTCATGTCTTTAACACATTAAGAAACACATTAAGATGGTAACGTATTTAAACATAAGCACACCTTGTCATATACGGAGTACGTTAATGCTCCTTCATTCTAATTTGTTCTCCAAAATTTTGGATTTGAATGGTAGCAAAATGATTTTTCTACTTTCTATTTAATTTGCATTATAAAATATTGACAAAATGGCAGTTTTACTCTTATTCTTGTCCTACTCATTTTCCATTTTCATACAACTATTTAGAGAGTGTTTGTAACGGTTTAAAAAAGCGTTTCTTGAATTTTGGCTTAGAAAAGCTAAAATTGGTGTTTTCAAATGATAATTTTACTTAAAGAAGTGTTTTTAAGCATTACACAAAACACATATTTTATCAAACACTATCAACTTTTACTTTGTACAATCAATTTTTTCTCAAATGCTATCAACTTTTACCACTAACCACTTTTCCAAAATCATTTTCAAAGAGGGTTTTTCTAAGAACATTTGCAAACACTCCCTTAATTGGGATTAATCTCACCTACCCTATTTCATCAATTACACCCTCTTTCCGCATTCCTCCTTTTCTATTGTTCAAAGAGAAATGATCTTAAATAAGAACAAAACTTTACTTAATACACCGTAGAGGATCACTCAAATTTTAAAACTCAAATAGGACTTAGTTTTTTTTACTTAATACCAAGTATGCCCCTGATTTAATTGCACGGGATATTCTTCCCTTTGCCCGTGTTTTTCTGGCCGTCTAGTCTAACAAGCTTCTCATCTTTGCTCCGGCATCTTTGTTCTCACGCGGACCACGTCACTAGTGACGGTGGCCGCAACAAAAATGCCGGCCTACCATCACACCTTCAGACTTCTTGAATTATTCTTCCATAAATATTTCCCACCCTATCCCATCTAGAAGATTCCCAAATTATATTAGGAAGATTCCTAAATATATTAGGCTATTAGTTAGTGCCAAAACAGGTTAGTATGGCATATCTAGCGCCATTTAGTTCATCTGTTTTATGCAATTCGGACCTCCGCCCGTGGAAGGCATCGGCTTTCCGGCGTGTAGGGAACTCTCTGTTACCACCTGTTTATCTCCATTGTTTTTATCACCCCCTTTAATTTCGTATGTGTTATGTCATCACCCTGGAAAATGAATATTTGCATGACATTATCTTATATACTGCCTCCATTCTTAAATAAATGCAACATGTTGAATTTTACACAATTCACATGTTCTACTTTGACTATGTTTTATTTATTCATGTATTAATATATATTTTTGAAAAAAAATATTGTTAAATTTATCTAATTGTAAATTTTAAAAATCTAATTTTTTAAATTTTTTTACTAATAGAGAACTATATATATTAATGGTCAAAGTTGTGCATCGGCAAATGTGAAATGTTGACCGTTGCATTTATTTAAGAACGGAAGAAGTAAAATTTAAAAAAAATGTGAACTTTAACATGTTCTGCTTTTTAAACCTAAATTTTTCCTTAGATATATTTTAGTGTTAAAATAAAGATATAATGGTTCCTATATTTGTTTTACATCTTTTATTTATTTTTTATTCAAAATTATATGTGAAGTGACATTAAAATCTTAAATTCCAATTTTATATATTTTTATATTAGAATGTTTGCCTCTTTAAATAACAATTACTCACAAAAAACAATTTGGTAAAAAATTGGTCGATAAAATATTAAAACTAAAGTTTTAATTGAAAAAGATATTGCTGAGAGAATATATTAACCAAACTAGATGGTAAGAAGAAACTGAATAAACCTAGTAAACACGAATTATAAAGGAGTGAAGAGTTTAATTTATTGATGGAATGACTAATGAGTTCTAGTTAGCCTGAGTAGCTCCATAAGATTCTGAACTCAAATGAATTACAAATATATAATCGTTATTTATCACAACTTCACTTTGGTAGTTAACTTTGTCTTAACAAATAATTAGGTTGGTGGCTCCCTTCCAACATCGCCCACCCCAGTACTAGAGACGGAAAGAGAAACAGAAGAAGCAATAATTCAAGTAACTACG